AGCCTTCCTTCCAGAACAGAAGGAAGATGGCTACATTGTGCATAGTAGCAGAGGAAACAGTCAGGGCTGGAGCTGAGTCGGCGACTGGGACAATAGCAACAAAGTTAGGTTGGGCTGGGTAAAGCCACTTGACCACAGCAAGTCCTGCTGCTGCCGCCGTTCTTGCCTCGTTGCCACACAGCCTGGCAACAATTCCACACCATCATAGATGGCAGGTCGTATTCGTCACTTCCTACGCTCAGTTCTGCACGCGCATGTTTATTCTTCACTGTGTGCTTGATGGACATAGGCTCACTACTTCCTAAGAAAGAGGTGAAATGGGACAACGGGGTCACATTTTAGAACAGCTGGCTCTTGTTTGACTTATGGAGAGGAGAGGAGTTGATCAGTCAGAGGACGTGAGAGCTGCAAGGGAATTTTAAGATCGTCTGGCCTTACTCACTCCGGCTGATGAGGAAACAGATTTCATCGAAACCTAGAACTTTGAGGATGCAGGTTAAGAGTCACAGTTAACTTTCCAACTCGTTCTCCATGTAGAACAGAACAGGCTGCAGGCAGGCCCACACCACCTGGTCTTCCTGTGGCCCTCCAGGGAATTAGCCATTCCATAAAAACAAAGATATTCTCTAAGCACACCTCCCAAACCGGTCTTGTCTAGCAAAGGTATATAAAAAAAGATCTTTATTTTTGTTCCCAACCCAAAACAAAAGCAGCAGGAGGGGGGGCATGGGTAGGTGTGTGCCATCACGTCACCCGACCATCACCACTGTCCATATGAACCCAATCATGGAAACTCTGAGCCGGATGGGACAGGGGCTGCATGTGAGAGCTGGGCCCAGCCTCCTCACTTGTTCAGCACATCTGCCTACCTTTCTTAGGTAGCGTAAGCAGCTTCCTGGCTCCCAAACCAACACGGCACCTGGCACACATAGCTGTTCGGTTGATGTTGGTGGGGTTGGATTACAGCCAGAGGAGCTGTGCCCCCAACTGCCCAGCCAACAGCACAGGGGCACCCAGAGCTCTAGGTTGAATGGGGATTCACATCTTCCCTCTCTCTTCACACTGGCCTCAGAATGGATGAGAGAGACAATGCTCTGTTTTCAAAAACCTCCAACCTTTGGAAGCCCTTCCTGGAGGTCCTCTTCCTCTCTTAGAGGGCCTTTTTCTCAGCCACATGGAACTAACTCTGTACTCAGCCATCCCATCTCCATGCCCAGTGAAGGCAGGATAGCTCAAGACCATATTCTTGGCAGCAGCTTTTTTTTTTTTTTTTAATGATAGTCACACACACACACAGAGAGAGAGAGGCAGAGACACAGGCAGAGGGAGAAGCAGGCTCCATGCACCGGGAGCCCGACGTGGGATTCGACCCCGGGTCTCCAGGATCGCGCCCTGGGCCAAAGGCAGGCGCTAAACCGCTGCGCCACCCAGGGATCCCGGCAGCAGCTTTGTAACAACAAAAACTGAGACTGTGGCCAGGCCATTTGTGTCCTCTGTTCACTGGGCTACTTCATTCGTGGGTCCTTCCCTGCCACTGTCACTTCGTTTGAGAAGTTTACAAACCTATAGGAAAGTTGACAGGTAATACAATAATAAAATGAAGACCTATCTAGAGGTACCTATTGCTAATGTGTTGCCACACACAGGAGGGTCCCTGCCTTGGGCTGCACCCCTCCCTGCACCGCTGCTGGGATGTGCCCACTCAGGGCCCTCACCACTACTTCTGCAGCCAGGACGGGAGGATGCCCCCCCATAAGCATTCCAGCCTGCTCCCAGCACGCCCCCCTCCCCCTCCATGGTTGACAGTGATATTGACGTGCAGGAAGGGGTGGCCTATCCCGGCTGTAGAGGAGCTGGGGATACTGGGGTGTTCACAGGAGCACAGAAGAGCCTTCCTAGGGTGGGATGGTAGAGAGAAGGGGGAAAAGCCTTCCTAGGGTGGGATGGTGGAGAGAAGGGGGAAAGAGGAGGGCAAGTTGAGAGTTGGGGCTGGAGTCTGGAGCCAGCACTCCCTCGCTGTCACTCTTGATGCAAATCCTCAGGCAGTTTGAGAAGCCTACACTGGAACCTGGCTTTCCAGACAGGAAAAGGCAGGAGGACAGAATGCACTCTTTAAAACTTTTGTAGGCTTGATTTGCAATTTTAACATCTTTAGACACAGGTGTCCTCTTCTCCAGCCCCAAGGGATCGGATCCTGTCCCCCACTTGTCAGCAAGGTGATGCCCGCTCTGAGCCTCTGTTTTCTCATCTGCAATAACATCTATCACAGAGGATTGTTGTGATGATTCTGTACATTCTGTGGAAAAGCATGCAGCAATGAGCCTAAGTCACCTTAGTCAGCCCCACCCTTGTGATGTGGATGGTAGGCTGGGGTGCTGGTCAACAAGGAGTGTCCATCAGAAACGCCAATAAATCAACTTTCCCCCTTTGAATCCTGGTTATTGTGGTGTTCCTGAAGCCACTCTGACACCTATTTTCTGGTTCCATCAAATATCTCGGATTCAAATTCCCACCCAAGGACTAGCATTGAAAACGTGGCTATTTCAGCAAACCACCAAAGCTCCTGAAGTAGACACTTTTCTTTCAGCTGCTTAATGGTTTGATTCCACAGGGGCTGAGTGACCGGAGCTGAGCAAGGCTCTTTCAGGAACCCGAGGCCCTCTACTCCCCAGCTCCCTACACTAGGTTCAGTACCAGGAGATGAACATTTACTTGGAGTCAATAATTAAATTGAGCAATGGCCACAAGCAGCTGAAATAAGGGTGCTGGCTACTCAGAAGAGGACAGCCGGGTCATTTCAGGTTGAACGTCTGACAGAGTGTGGGCAAGGCTGGGGCCCCTCACCTGCTTCCCTGGCATTGCAGAAGATGCGGGAGGGTACCAGGGCCAGGGACCCAGAGGTGAAAGAAACTAATCCTTAAAATCAGAAACATTTGGAAAACTCCAAAAGAAAAAAAAAATATTTCAAGTTCTCTACCTCTTTCTAACCACACATTGGTGTGGGTTGTTAGGACTTTCCCAAAGTTTTCATACACCTAAAAAGAAACTGCTGGTGCAGATTACAGAGCATTAACGCTTCCATTTGGCCTGGGGGTGGCGGGTGCAGTCCAGGCTCTTCAGAGTCTCCCTACCTAAAGTGCTCACACAGGGAAACTCATGCAAAAGTTTCTGGTGGATGTACATTCCAACGGAAGGTGCCACAGAATCACAGCCCCTGGAATAATCCTTTCATTTTACACATGAATAAACTGAGAATTTGAGTGAACACAAAGCTAATTGGAAACAGAACCGGAATTGAAATCCGAGTCACCCTGACTCACCACCCAGTGGTCATTCCTTTCTACCACACAGCACGGCCTGGAAGAGGGACGTTGCTCCCTCAGGGCCTAATTCATGCCCAGATGTAACCCTGATTACCCCTGGCACACTTTAAGTGTCTGCCGCATGAGTCCATGAGTGAGTGAGCCCCGCCAGCTAGAAGTGTCCAGTAGGCCCAACGGGGGAGGGTGTGTGTGTGGGCGGGGGGTGGGTGGGGTGGTGAGCATGCCCACAGAGAGGGCTGGCAGCAGGGGGGTCAGGCTGGTGGGGCAAGCAGAGGGGTGTGGGGAGAATGAGGGCATCTGAGCAGGGAGGCAGAGGGGCCAGCCCCTACAGTGAGGACCCTGCTACCTGTTGGAGGGTGTGAAGGGAACAGGTGCCCAGGAGGGGCTGGGAAATGGGAGGACTGGAGTTTAGAGAGAGGCCAGGGCTGCACCGTGTTATAATAGAAACATGGGGCCATGCTTTGCCTAGGCACGGTTGTCTCCAAGTCCCGGAGGGGGCTTAGCTGGTTGTCAGGGAGTCGGCCTGTCTTTCCGCGGCCTGGAGGAGAGGCCTGTGCGCTTAAAGTCTCCTCCTCCAGGACTGCATTTACCTAAAGAACCTCCACGCGAGCCCGCCCCGCTCCCAACAGCCCAAGGCAGCGCTTGGCCCAGCAGGCTCCCCGCACCCCGCACCCCGCACCCCGCACCCGGAGCAGGGAAGCTGAGGGAACCGGCAGAGGTAGAAATCCAGGCCTCTGCCTCCGCCCGGGGCCAAAGAGCTTTTTCATCGCGGACTCCCAGTGGAGAGGCTGCGTGGACAACTGGGCAGGGGGTACGCGAGCGCGCGTGGATGTGTGTGTGTTCAGTGTCACGTGCAGCCAGGTATTCCCTTTACCTGAACCCCACGACACACGACTCAGAGTCGCCGGAATGGGAGGGTACCCCTATTCCCAGGGGAGAGGCGGCAAAGCAAGGACCTAAGAACGCCCAAGGTTAAGCGGGGGGACGAGTGTCAGAGTCACGCGAGACGCTCCACTTTTGTGCCCTAAAGCCCGTCTCCCCGCAGGGTGTGACCCCAGGGCGCGGGCACGGGAGCCAGCGGGGGGTCAGCCCAGCGGGGGAGGCCAGCGGGGGCCCATGAGGGTAGTGGGGGTCCGCGGGGGCCGCGCGCGGCCGCAGCTCGGGGCGCCCCGGAACCCGGCCGACGGCCCGGGGGGAGCCCGCCTGTCCACCAGGGCCCCGCGGGAGCCGTCTGTCGCCGGGGAGGGTCAGCGCAGGGCGGCGGCAGCAGAGCGGCCCGGGAGCGCCGGAGCCGCGCGCGTCCTTCCCCGCCGCCGCCCCGCTTTCGGAGTCCACGGCGACTCACCCCACCTCCGCCCGTTCCCGGCCTGGCCTCCCCGGCAGGGTCCGCGGGCCCCTCCCTGTCCGCCCTCCGGGGGCAGCGCCGCGTCGAAGACGCCCCGGGAGGATGGCCCAGGGGCCGGGAGCCGAGGGGGCGCGGGCGGCGGGGTGCCGGGGTGCCCGGGCGGCGGGGTGCCGGGGCGGGAGGCCGGGGCGGGGGCGGGGGCGGGGGCGCGGCGGGCGGAGGGGGCGGTGCGGGGAGGGCGGCGGGGGCGCGGCCGCGGAGGGCGAGGCCCGCGGCCATTGGTCGGGGCGGGCGGGACGGGGGTGGGGGCGGGCGGAGGGTCGAGTCCCGGGGAGCGCGCCGGGGCCCGCAGTCGCCGCCCGGGTCCGAAGAGCCAGAGCCCCGAGCGCAGAGCCGGCGCCCGCCATGAGGGAGATCGTGCACATCCAGGCGGGCCAGTGCGGGAACCAGATCGGCACCAAGGTGGGCCGGGCACTGGGCTCCCTGCGGGTGGGCGGCCGGCAGCCCCGGGGCGTCGGGGCTCCCCCCCGGTGCGCGCCCGGGGTCCTCCGAGCCCAGGCCGGCCCTGCGCGGCACCGGAAGGCGCTCGAGGAGTGGCGCGGCCGCGGAGGGCCCCCTTGCCCCATCCCCGGTCCCCACCCCGGCTGCGAGCGGCCGCGGAGGCGGAGGCGGAGGCGGAGGCGCGCCTGGAATTCGGCAGCCGAGCCCCGCGCACCCCGCCCCCCGGGCCAGCCCTGGCGGGAGTCGCGGCGAACGACGCCCCGGGCTCCGCGTTCTGACCTGCTGTCCCCCCGCCTCCCTCTTCCCAAGTTTTGGGAAGTGATCAGCGATGAACACGGCATCGACCCAGCCGGAGGCTACGTGGGTGACTCGGCGCTGCAGCTGGAGAGAATCAACGTCTACTACAATGAGTCATCCTGTGAGTCGCGCGGTCGGGACCCCGCCCTTGCCCATCGGACCCCGCCGCCCCCCCCCAAAACCGTCGCCCCCCCCCGCCCCCAGATCCTGGCCACCCCACCCTGGGACCCTAGACATCCGCGCCCGGACCTCGGCCACCGCCGCCAGGACCCCGGCCTCCCCACTCCGAGACCCCGGCCGCCCCTCTCCCGGACCGGCCTTCCTGCCGTGGGACCACGCCCACCCCCGCCCGGACCCCGGCCAACCCCTCTGGGACCCCGCCTCCCTCCCCCCAGACCCCGGCCGCCCCCGCCTGGACCTGGCCGTCTTCCTCTGGGACCCCGGCCTCCCCGCTCCGGGGCCCGGGATTCCCGGGGCTTCGACCGATCCGAGGCTGGTGCTCAGGATGCCGCCCTCGCGCGACGGTAGTTTGTCCTTGAAAAAGGGTCCCGGGATGCGGCGGGATGCCCGACTGACTCCTTCCTCACCTCCCCCGGGGCGGGAAATCCGCCCTCAGTTTGTTTCAAACAGTCGAATTTGGCCTATCACAGGGCCTGAACTCTTGAACTAGACAACCCGTTAGTGTTGTGAAATCACTTACTGGGTCACAACTGACTTTTTGTTTTGCTTTGTTTTTCGGTTTAAAATGTATCTCTTGGCTAAAAATCTGAAAAGCGCCCCGTTAAATGATTTCTCTGATTTTTTTTTTTACCAACCTCCAAAAACATGTTGTGCTCTCAGGAAGCTGAAACTACAGACAACTCTGGATAATTGGTGGAGTTCAGTAAAAATTCCGGGCTGTGGCTTATCCAAGTTTGGGAATAATATCACCACCGCCCTGGATATCTGCCCTGTTATTGTGGCTACATGTATACATTATTTGTTAGAATTTTTATTATAAATGTGATAAGTGCCCTTCATAAAACAACCAAAAATTAAGACTTTCAAAGAACATCCAGAAAATGACAGATGCTACCTTTCCGCATACACAACACATATCCCCAGAATTACTCTGGTTTTTGGAGTCACTTGCTGTTTGCTCGAAAGCTGTGAAGAGCAGGATACAGAAAGCACTGGGTTTTATTCATTCAGCAGCTCTAAGAAAAGGTCTGGATCAGCAGGGCATAGAATATGAAATTTCTACGTAGCACTAAAGAAAATTTTAGTTATACATTGTCCCTCCTGTTAACCCTTAGGTCCTGCTTGTTTATGTCCTTTCTTCAGTCTGGGTGTGTGGGTAGCAGGAGTTGTAGGGGCAAATCCTATGTACAAGCGCATTAGCCATGCCCAGTAGGCATCAAAATGTGCTTGCTAGCAAAAAGGCTACACTACACTCATTCGTAAATGAAAGTGTGTCCCAGAACAGCCCATGGAATCATACCTATAACTAGGTGCTACGACGATAGCTTGGATTCACGTGTGTACAGGAAGGAGGTGCCCCAAAGTGCAAAGAATGTCAGAGCAACACGGCAATTTGCTGCAACAGATATTTTATTTCCATGGGGCTGAAAAAGTACAGTTTCCAACAGGAAAGAGGTGTCAGGGTGAAGTGGAAAATACAGGAGGCAGGAAGTCAGGAGACCTGATTTCTCATCCTGCTTATTCCTGGAACTTCCTGTGCCCATTCACACTTGGGCTGGTTTCCTCGCTGGGGCAATTTAAGGTGGGGTTGTGTTCCCACAGGCTCCTCCCTGTGCTAAGGCTCTTTGATTCTTAGAAAGCCGGGTCTGTCTCTGAAGAAACTTTGCTTTGTACCATCCGGGCAGCTTCACTGGGGGGACTTGCTGTGCAGCAGCGCATCACTCTGGAAACCAGAAAGTGACCCTTGTGGGTGGGCTTTGTTCTCTTCCAGCTCAGAAATACGTGCCCAGGGCTGCCCTGGTGGACTTGGAGCCTGGGACCATGGACAGTGTGCGGTCTGGGCCTTTTGGGCAGCTTTTCCGGCCTGACAACTTCATCTTCGGTGGGTTCCATCTTTCCTGCTTTCTTTTTATTTTTTTTAAGCATCAAACTAATTTATGGGCGAGACTGAAAGACAAAGAAAAGCTTAGAATGGAAATCAGCAGCCCCCAGTGTCATTGCAGCCCCCAGTGTCATTACATTACAATATTTTTAATTCTTAGCTTTTCTTTAGGAAAGCAATCTCTGTGTCTCCAAATGAAATGTTTATATTGATAGTTATTGATTTAACAAATTTTTTTAGACATGAACTTTTTTCTTCCCCTTATAAATGATCATAACATGATAATAATCATTTGTTTTGGTTCCTATTTTGCTCATCTTTTTTTTTTCTATTTATTCATGAGAAACACACACAAAGAGAGAGAGGCAGAGAAACAGGCAGAGGGAGAAGCAGGCTCCATGCAAGGAGCCTGATGTGGGACTCGATCCCCGGTCTCCAGGGTCACACCCTGGTCTTCTTCAGGCGGCACTAAACCACTGTGCCACCAGGGCTGCCCCCTATTTTGCTCACCTTTTAACTGCAGTGTGTTTATACCTATATTTCTCTTTCATGACCTATAGACAGTTACTCTGCTTTCTTCTTAAAGGCTGGCACCATATGAATTTTTGTTAGAATTGGGCAATTCCTCCCCTCCCTTCTTCTACCCAAGACATGGTCAAGCACCTGTCCCTCTGCACACTCCCAAAGAAAATTATGTAACATTAAACGAAGTGGCACCATTAGTACTACAAGCTTCTGTCACCCTGTAGCCATGGTTTTTAGAGTCAATGTTACTTGAAAAAATACTTAAAGGAGAAAAATTCAAACTATGCAAGAAAAGCAGAATTCTGAAAGATTTCATTGGTACACAAACTGATGACTTTGTAGCAGAATCTGGCAGTGACCTGTTATAAAGGTGACTCAGCAAGATGAACATTCACGAATCCTTTGGGTATCATCCCCTTCCCTGTCACTCTGACAACAACACAACCAGCGGGACAGGCAGAGCTTCTGATAAGAGCTAGTTCAAAGATTGGGCCGTATTTGGCCCCAAGCAAAGACCCTTCTCTACCCTGCTGCCCACAAGTGGCTGTTTAAAGATAATAAAAATTACATAGAATCAATTCATTTCCTCAGTTGCACTAGCTACATTTTGAGTGCTCAATAATTAAATGTGGCCAGTGGTACCTCATGGAACATATGGGACAGTTCCTCCAGGCCTCAGTAGAGGTACTGTATGGAATGACAGGGATAAAGAGAGAAAGTGCAAAGGCACTACACACTACACACTACACACTACGCACTACACAAACACATGGCCGTTCATAACCACTTCTACCCTAAGAGCCAAGATGAAACCTACAGGATGTGTGGCAGACGGGAAAGTGTTCCATCGACAATCATATTTTAATGTTGGAAACCACACATTCACTCATGTTCTTTCTGAAAAATTACCAGTGTAATTGAATAAGAACTGTGCCTAGAGAGAACAATACCACTTGGCAACAGAAGTACCTCAATCAACAACAAACACAGTTTTGGTGCCCATAAAAGGCAAAATGTCTTACAAGGAAATGAGAGACCCTTAAGGCTGATTCATGGCTTAAAGTTAACGGTGGTATAGAAATTACATTTATCAAAGATCTTTTTTTTAAGATAGATTTATTTATTTATTTATTTATTTATTTATTTATTTATTTATTTATGATAGACATAGAGAGAGAGAGAGAGGCAGACACAGGCAGAGGGAGAAGCAGTCTCCATGCCGGGAACCCGGATCGCACCCTGGGCCAAACCGCTGAGCCACCCAGGGATCCCCACATTTATCAAAGATCTACTTTCCAATCCCTTCCTCAGAAGGCACCAGATGGAGATGATTTCATTGAGGGTAACAGATAATCCTCTGCTATTTAAACCCTATGTATCTAGGGTATCTCCTACACAGTAAGTGCTTGATAAATATTAGCAACATCATAGGAATGCAAGGATGGTTCAACATTGAGAAGTCAGCTAATAGGTTAAGAGAGACAACATCTTCATAGGTGCCCAAAAATATTTGATAAAATTCAGGATGGGCCCCTGACTTGTAGAGGACAAAAACCTTTACATGCAAGCTGGAAGGAGAAAGATACTCCCTCTATTTAAGAATTATCTACCAAATCCATAGCAATGTCACACTCACCAGTGAAGCATTAGAAGTATTCCCAGCAAAGTCACAAATGAGAAAAAGATGTCTATTGTGTCTTCTTCTATTCTTCTATTGTATTCCATGTTTTGAAGTTTCTAGCCAGTGCACAAAGACCAGAGAAAGAAAAGAGATACAGATCATTTAAAGGAAAAGACAAAATTATTATTTGAAGGTGGAATGATTCTCTTGGATTTTTCAGATAGGCTATCCAATGAATAGTTATTGGCACTTTTTAAGACCTCAGTGAGGCAGCCAGACACAAGATAAAGACTCAGATGTTATTACTGTGGGGTGACCAGCTGTCCTGATCTGCCGGGAACTGAGGTTTTTCTCAGGACACTACCTTCTCAGTGCTGAAATTGGTAAACTCCCAGGTGCCCTGAGACAAACTGATCTCCTTAAAGGCAATAATCAGTTATAACACATAATGGGAAAATATCCTATTCACAATAGCAGCAAAAGTTATAAATACCTAGGGACAAAACTTTCTAGTAACTGAGAATGAGGAGGAGTCATTAAAACAAGATGCTCATCTCCCAACAGACTGGGTGGTACTTTAAAAACTAACTGCTAGTACTGGTGTGGTTGTTGGGGAGAGTAAGTTTTAAGCATTGTCAGAGAACAACTTAATGGATTCAGCAAATCAAGAATTTTGATTCAACAGTTTCTGTTCAAGGAATTTGTCCCGAAGAAATGCTGGCACATGCATTAGGGACATTGCGTATTGGTTTCTAGAAGAGCTGAACCTCTTTGCCGGCCTCTGCCCCCTTGCCCTTACCACCAGCTGGATCGGTCTCTGACAGTTCAGGGGACTGCTTTCTCAGCACCTGTGATAGAGACTCAACTGGAAGAACCTTAGTACCCGTATACCCAAAAGGAAAAAAGGACAACTGCCCCCATCCTCCTTTTTTTTTTAAGATTATTTATTTATTTATTTGAGAGAGAGAGAGAGAGAGAGAACATGCCTGTGAGAGCAGAAGCAGGGGAAGAGCAGAGAAGGGGAGAAGCAGGCTCCCCGCTGAGCAGGCCCCCCCCCCATATGAGGCTCCACCCCAGGACCCTGGGACCATGACCTGAGCTGAAGGCAGACACTCCACCGTCTGCCAGGTGCCCCCCAGGCACCCCCCTCTGCTTCCTGACACAGATCAGTGCCATCTTGAACTTTCTCTCACTGCGTGGGTATAGATCACTAGCAGCTATGGGGCTCTTGCGCTGGGTCACTGAGTTAGGGTACCCAATAAGAGAGCACTGAACAAGGAGAGGGGGACCTGGCAGCTGTTCTCAGCCTCTGGCGCCTCTGGTGCTACCAGTTTCCTTCTTGGGGCTCCTTCAGCCGCTAGTGTGAGGGATGAAGGGCCCCCACGCATCCCAGGCTCTGTAAGGATCCGAGCGAAGTGATAGCCTGTCTCCTCCACGTGCATAAAAGTCACTTCCACACAGAAATCTGCTCGGTCTCTTCCCTTGAAGGCTTAAGTGATTTTTGGTAAGAGTCTGAGAGGATTGCTAAGGTTTCTTGAATCTACCTCAGTCTCAGGAAACTCACAAAATGAATAGATTTCATCATTAAGCAAAGTATACAGTTGAGCCCTGAACAACACAGGGCTAAGTGGAGGGGTGCCAACCCCCTGCACAAACGTTTACTTATAATTTTTGCCTCCCCAAAACCCAGTTACTAATAGCCTACTCTTACTGACAACATAAACAGTAGATCAACACCTAGTGTGAGGGTTACATATCCCATATTCTTATAATAAAGTCAGCTGGAGAAAAGAAGGTATTATTAAGAAAATCATAAGAAAGAGAAAATACATTTACGGAACTGTGATTATTTATCAAACAAATCTGCTTAAGCAGCCCCGTGCAGTTTAAGCCCATGTGGTTCAAGGGTCAGCTGTACTTTTTGTTTGATACGCAGTACGTGCTAGGAGATTCACAAGGACGAGGAGGGGGGCATATACAGTGGAAACCTGGGCTGTCCCCCTCTGTCCACGCAGGGCCCTCCCAGAAAGCCGGCTCCTACGAGGTGCCCTTCTTGGGGCAGGTGCACATTAGAAGTGGATGCATGAGTTGCTGAGTTTGAATATATAAAAATATGGTAAAGCTTTATTTATGTAAAATGCCTGGCTTTCCTGCTCCTAGGAAGGACATAAGACAATGTAAAGACAGCCATAGACGTGGCCGTCTAAAACACCCAGTGAACTGAGAGAGTTATTTCAGTTGCAGCTGTGAATTCATTTAAGCTCTGGGTTTCTGGCAACTAAATTCAAAAAAGGAAGCCCAGGACACAGTGGTCATCATCATAAAAGGGAGAGCCCACTTTGTTCTACATTATTTGTATTTATTTATCTTAATTTTTACTGTTTTTTTTTTCAACAAAAGCTAATATAGAACTGCATTATTAAAAATTAAGAACTAGAGTAAAAAAATTTATTTTATATGATCATCATTGTATAATGGTCATTGGCATTGAGGTATAGTTTTACCTTTTCTTCCTGTTTGCTGATTTTCATTATTTGTAAACACTGTATCCCTTGGGTCTTTTTCCCCACTGAATATTATATTTAAGCCATGTTTCATGTTTCTAAAAGTTTAATAGTTTCTAAAATCTCTGATTTTAATAGTTGCATAATGTGTAATTATTTATTTCATAATGGACAATAATCAGGGAGTGGTTTCTTACCAAGTTTTGCTCTAAGAGAGAAAAATCAGAATATAGGGGTGCCTGGTTGACTCATTCGGCAGAGCATGAGACTTTTTTTTTTTAAGATTTTATTTATTTATTCATGAGAGACAGAGAGAGGCAGAGACACAGGCAGAGGGAGAAGCAGGCTCC